ACCCTAAACCGTGGCTCTGCTGAATAAGCCCTAGGTCCCAGACCCAAATTGGAATATGGGACCGACATGATCATTATCAGAACCGGCAAACTGGTCGGAGTCGGGGTGGGGTGAGGGATGGCTGGGGTAGGGTTGGTTCGCTCTCTCCGCAGCAATTCGGAATCCTATGGCACTCTCTTACGGACTGTTGCCAGCACACAGAATGCAGTCTACCAACGGCTTCCAAGGCGTTTCTTCTAGCTCCCCATCTTGCGAAACAGCTCCGCCACTGAAAGCTCGGCCTGGCGAGAAGCGATTGCCGCTCCGTCCGGAACTGGTGTGTGTGCCAGCGCTCGAGGCATACCGTAGCTATCAGTAGCGTGATGCGTGATGATGCGTGCGTCATTAAGCTGCCTGCTTGTTGCTCTTGCGCAGATTGTGAGCGGCATCTTTGAAGCCTGGCACTGAAAACGGCTCGACTGAAACCAAGAGGCACAAGTGAAGGCGCTACCAACAGGCCGGAATAGCGCTTTAGCCATTTGGATTCTGCAGTCTTGAGATCGCGAGGTGCCAAACGGCAAAGAACCTTGCACACGGTTGAGCTTTGCAGCTTGACTGCCGGAAAACGGCAGCAGGCCTTGGCAACCCACTCTACGACCACATCAAAGCCTCACTCGCTCCCACCGCATTTTGCACAAGGCACCATACGTATCGTACAACAACAGACCTTGTTTCGCGAAGCTGCGGGGATGTTGCTCGAAGGCGGCCATTGCCAGGCGTGCAACCTCTGCTGAGCGGAAAGCCTCCCAGCCTCTCAGCCCGTGGAGTGTGGCCAGTGCGCGCCACTGCACTTCTCCGTTCCTCGGTCAGCACCGTCCAGTGGCTTTAAAAGGTGTCAGGTAGCTTCCGACTTACTAAGTCTTGAAGGCGATCAGCTTCGCTTGAAGCCAACATGCTTCGGGGACATTCCTGACGTGCCGTGACGCTCACATCAAGGCAGTGTGTCTGCCAACCCAGTCAGACAGACGGCTTCCAGGTGGCAGACAACAAGCCTGATCGAGACCACCAGATATCACGAAGACGCCACATGACTACTTAAACAAAGTAATGCCACGCGAAACGACCCGCGCGATAG